GGGCAGGAGAAATGGGCTGCAGCAGCCACAGCACAGGCAAACTCCTCTGCCCTTGAGTTTGGCCCTTGGGAACCCAGCTCGGCTTAGAGATTTCTTGCTAAGGGTGGTGCCCGTTGGTTCAAGAGTCCCAGCGGGCACTGGAGCTTCACCTTCTGTGGATGGGGCTGTCTGTGAGGGAGAGGAGGACCCAGATTCAGTTCCTTTCAGAAGAGACCTGAACTCAGGAAGATGCAGGTCCCTCCTGGTTCAGCACCCATGGAGTGCCCACTTTAGATGGCATGGAAGCTGGAGGAAGATGGGCACTGGGCTCTGTGGGACCCCAAGCCCAGAAATCCACAGGCTCCTCCCAGGAGTGATCAAGCCGGAGGCTCCCTCCCTGTCCTCCTCTCTCCCTTGTCTTCTCACCCACCCACGGGAAACCAAATGCCGATGGCGGAGTCCCAGGGGCCATATCAGGGCTCCTGCGCTCAACTCCTCCCCCTTCCGATGTGGCTGGCATCTCACCTGGGCCACTTTTCCTTCTTGTGGAGTCATTCTTATGTAATCGTCATCCAACAAGACAGGGTGGTTCTTTTCTCTGGGCTAACTAGTTGCATTTACAACTTTCTCCCATGAACTTTTCAACAATAGTAGTAATGACGGGGCTTTGCATCACCTATCCCAACTTAACTCCTGCCTTTCCTCTTTCTAATAGGAGAGGATGGTGTGGGGAAAATATAATCTTCTGAGCCGCCTGTGCATTCAGCCTGTGATGTTGCAGTAATGACGCCAGGCTCCGAGCTGTAGGAAGAGGTACTTGCCTCCTCACAGGCTAACAGCCCATAGATCTAAGGGTGACTGCAGACAGCCTCATGCAGTGCTGTGGTCAGGCCTAGAGACCAGGCTCCGGAGCCCCCAGCTGCCTAGGTTTGGAGCTGATCTGCCTCGGTCAGCTGGCTACACCTGGGCAAATGGCTCCATCTCTCTGGGCACGTTTCCTTGTCTACACAATAGGACCTCCCGACTGTACCTACCTCACAGGGTCCTGGTGGGAGTTCTACGGATTAACAAGAACACAGAGCACCGTCAGGCACACGGTGTACGTTCAATAAATGTCAAGGGCCTTTTCCACAGCAGCCGCAACTTCTGAAATATTGGAGATGGTGGGAAAGGTGCAGATTTACGTATCATATTATGGAGGGTGGTGGGATGTAGGCCGGACATGGTGGGAAAAGAGAGAAAATGAAAGGGTTCTTACCTGGGGCTTATCAGTGGCAGCGACTGCTTCCGGAGCAAAAGGCAACGTTGGCAAAGTCAGAACCCTGTCCCCTCGTTCAAGGTCAGAATGCTGGCCCCGCCCCGGCCCTCCTCCCGGCAGCATAGCTTCCTTGCTGCGTTGGAATCATTTGCGGCGCTTTCAAAACAAATCAAATGTCTGTGCTCGATCCCCAGAGGATTTAATGGGCCTGGGTGTGGCCTGGATACTGAGATTTTTTTAACGCTCCCGGGGCCACTGAGGCCTGAAGGCCTGCAAGGTGGGTGATAAGGGGGCAGCCATGCTTCCTCCTGGTGGCCCCAACACCGTGGCTACAGTGGCCCCGTGTTTCACAGAAGCCCAGGGTACCTGCAGTGATTAGCAGATGCCTTTGAAAATTCCACTTCAGGCACCCTGCAGTCCCAGCACTTAGGGAGGCTGAGGTGGGAGGATCACTTGAGCCCAGGAGGTTGACATTGCAGTGAGCTATGATCATACCACTGCACTCCATCCTAGGCAACAGGGTGAGACCCTGTCTCTTAAAAAGAAAGAAACAAGCAAAATTCCACTTCTGAAAGGGAAGGGAAATGGTTTAGTCTCATTCCCTCCACCCAGAGCACGCCTGGGGCGTGACAAGCAATGGTGTGGCCAGACCCCTTAGGAGGGGAAGGCTGTCTCACTCACAGCTCCGCGTCCCCCCAACCAAGGCTAAGTTTGGCTATGAGCTGTTCTTCTCCTTCTGGACACCTGTGAAGTCTCTGGTGGTCCAGCCAGGTGGTGGGTGGAGTTGGGCTGGCCCTGGGAACGGCTGCTGGTCCAAGCAGGGGGTCTCACTGGTTCAGGCTCCATGCTGCCTGCCCCAGACCACCCGGCCAGGGTGTGCAGTGGCTTTACCCCCGACCTCAACTGCAATTGGGGGGACGCTGCCTGTACACACCTGCATGTCAACAGGATAAAGGTAAGGGTGTTGGGGGGAGCACGGGGGTCCAGCACGACACTGGGGTGAAGTCCCAGTGGTTCATATTTACAGCTTTACAATTCAGGAAGGTTCCTAAGGTCTCCCGAATCATTCCATCAACACCCAAAGAAAATCACAAGCATTTAAGGAACAAAATAATGTTTTTATTAAAAATTGTACCCATAGCACCTCTCTGTCTTCCTACAAGTTGTTTATTTTTTTCTTTTTCTTTTTTTTAAATGAGATCTGGTTTTCCGCACAATTTCAGAAAATGTTGTAGGGAACGCTTCAGGGCTGACCTGAGGGCACCCGAAACCAGAAGGTGATGTGGGAAGGAGATGTGTCCCAGCGGGCGGGCTCAGCTCATGAGTTTCCACGTTGTCCTCACCTTCCAGACTGGATCCATGCTACCGGGACGCTGGCCCATGGGGAGCCACACTTAGGTATGCAGACGGGTTGCTCGTCAGGAGAATAGCTACACTGTGTGCCAAGAATGTGTAAGAAATAAAAACCATGCTACGAACCGTTAGGCAAACACCATGCTTCAGCCCAGTCACAGTCAGATACAAGCACAGCCTCCGAAGACCGGTACAGAGTGAGCCACCTCCCGGGGCTGTGGAGGCTTGTTCCGTGTGTGGCTGTCTGGGCCCCCTCCCCCTGGGGCCCCTTGTTTTTCTGCTGCAGCACTGAGTGAAGTGTGCATTATAAAAGCAGGCGGGGAGAGAGGCTGAAGGGGAGGCTGGGAGAGGGGCTTGGGCTGGACCGATTCAATCAGAAGGTGGCCGCGCAGGAGGCTGAGGGGACGTGGCCTGGCAGTTCTCTCTGCTCACCTGCCTGGAATCTCTGCCCTGGCGCCCCAGGAGGAGGGAGCCCTGCACACCCATCCCTGCGGCTCAGATGGAGCCTCCTGGTGGCTCCGTGACCGCATCCTCGCAGGGCAGGGCCAACACAATCTGAAATGAGCCACGTGGGGTTGGGTGGGGAGACTCAGCCACTGCCGTCATGAGGCATCCGCAAGGTGCGACTTTCAGCACAGTCGGAGAGAGCGGGAGCACATTCTGCCCAGCCTGGCTCACACACATTTTGCTTGTCCTCTTTTCAAAACCGAGATTGAAATCCAATCTCCATCTTCCAAGGCTGTGGCTTTCTTTTCCTTCCCTGAAGATGAGGAGTTAGGAATCGATGCTTCTCAAATCCCGTATTGCTCTGGGAGGCTGAAATCTACCTGGAGACACCCAACTCTGTTCCTTTGCGCAGCTGGTTCTCATGGGACAGAGTCTCTCCGAGTGACAGGTGTTGTCACTGTCCCAGGCACAGTCCAGCAGCAGCCAGGAGGCCGGTGTGGCCTCGGACAGGCCGCTCCGTATAGATCAAGATTTACTAAGAGTGGAGGGAGACAGAAAACACGAGCTTGAAACAAAAGTGTCATGATGTTGTATCGAAAACCCAAGAGCAAAAAACACATCTCGAATCTGCTCATCCTCAACCTAAGACGTCTCAGCACTCTCCCTGGTGTGTAAAGCCACGTCCTTATGGCTGCAGAGAGCAGTCAGAGCGCACAGAAGGCAGCGTTGGCCATGGCCTCCATTTATCGCTTCTCTTCCGAGAAATTCCAGTGCTCGCATCCTGGCTTCCTGCCCACTCTGTTCTCTCCGGGGCCAAGAGGGAGGCAGCTCTGTCCACGGTGGCGAGTCTTGTCCAGGGAACTGTGGGCTGCGATTCTCATGCAGAAGTGGCTTTGGGCAGAGCATCTAGGATTTTTGGTTTAGAGTATTTACCCCTCCACTCAGCAAAAGGAGGAGAAAAGGAAGACGGAATGGAAGAGAAAGGGAGGGAGGAAGGGAAGGAGGGAGAAAAGAAAGGAAAGAAGGAAGGAAAGAAGGAAGGAAGGAAGGGAGGCAGGGAGGGAGGAAAGAAAGGAAAGAAGGAAGGGAGGAAGGGAGGGAGGAAAGAAAGGAAAGAAGGAAGGAAGGGAGGGAGGGAGGAAAGAAAGGAAAGAAGGAAGGAAGGGAGGGAGGGAGGAAAGAAAGGAAAGAAGGAAGGGAGGGAGGGAGGAAAGAAAGGAAAGAAGGAAGGGAGGGAGGGAGGAAAGAAAGGAAAGAAGGAAGGAAGGGAGGGAGGGAGAAAAGAAGGAAGAAAGGGAGGGAGGGAAGGAGTGGGGAAAGAAGAGAGGGTGGGAGGAAGGAAGGAAAGGAGAGATAAAGGGAAGGAAGGTGGGGAAGGAAGGGAGGAGAGAAAAAAGGAAACTTTCCATAGCCTCTAATTTTGGAAAGACTGAAGAGGGGTTTTCCAGCCTATACAAAACTCTCCTTGGTCTCCTGGGGCCATACTCAACAATGCTGACAGCAGAGCATCCAGGCAGTATCCACACCCTCTGCCCATGGAGGTGCACAAAACATCTAGGCAAGCAGGGGCCACACTTTCTGCATGTGGCCAGGAGACTGGCCCCCGGGTGGCACTGGCCAGATACTGCTCAGCTGTCCCCTACCCTCAGGTCACTGGGGGAACAGCACCTGCCCGTTCACCCTGCACGTGGGGCACTGACAAGGTGGTCTTGAGTCTTGTGTGTGTCACGCTTCTGCTGGTGAGGGGGCACTTGGGGCACTTACAGGGAAGGACCCAGGACACACACACCAGTGGGCACCAGCAGTGCTCCCGTTCCATCCGGACCCGGGACCTGGGCTGAGGGGTGGACCCCGGCAGCCCAGCCGTCTGTTGCAAAGATGACGTGAGGGGCTGGAGGCACGGTCATCTCTGGGCTATTAAGTTTTCCAAAGTGGTTCATACTCTTTTCATCTAGCTGAAAATTTTAAACCAAACAATGACAATTTTAAAGAAAAAATGAAATGTTTCCAGAAAACCTGTTAAGGCTAAAAGCTGGCCTTGGACTGGGAGAGGGGGCAGCAGCAGTGCCAGCGGTGGAGAAGCGGTGGCCGCCGTGGGCGGCCGGCAGAAGCCAGGACAGAGGGAGGGGACGGCCTGGTGTGCACGAGGCAAGTCGGGAGCGTGTGTTCTCAGAGCTGTTTTGCTTTATTTGCAGAGACTGTTGCTTTTCATCTTTTCCCATGTACAAAGCTGAACAATTAATAAAAAGGCACCTGGAGACAGCAAAGACGCATTTCATGTGACATAGTTTAAAAAAAGATAAAAAGATTTAAAAAATACTCTGGTTAACAATGCACGCTTCCTACTTAACAAGCAATTCTGGGGACGCCGTCCCATGTCCTCGTGTCCCGCAGAGTTGGCCGTGTGCTGTGTTCAGGAAGGAGAGGCTGGCGTGGTGGCTTCCAGCCTTAAGAGGCCTCCCTAGTCAGGTGGGAAGGAAGGGGGAAAGACAGGCAGAAAAGCCTCAGGACCGCATCACTGCAGTGACGCTGACGGTGACAGTTGAATCACACCTTAGCATCCCTGTCCAGCCGTCAGGAACCCGAAAGCCGACTCCTTGCTTAGAAATTGCCAAGTGAGAACATTTCAGAAACAGATGAAGTTGGGACAAAACGCGCTGAGCCCAGGGAGAAACGTTTGCTCTTCAAACCCCAGGAGGGAGCTGTGAGCCGAGGATGTCCTGCGTTGAGAAGGGTGTGAGCCGCTGGGTCTCTGGAAGAGGAGGTAGAAAGAGACAGGGGCCAGCCGGGGCAGCTCTGAGATCTCACCTGACCCTCCATTCCCTCTCCCCGCTTGAGCCTTCCTAGTTGGTCTTGAAGACGGAGAAACCCAGGGCTAGGGAGGTCTGAGGTCCTCCCAGGCCCCGGCGGTGCCAAGCCATTGTACCAGTGAAATACACCTTCTCTTAAAAAGAAAAGAAAAAGAAAGAAACCTGCTTCCTGCAGCGATGTTACAAAAAGCCGTTTAAAAAAACCTTCCTAATTGAAATCTAATGTCCACAAGTAGGTAAAATCATCACTTATCAGATTTTTTTTTTTTTAAACAAAAACTTCAGCTCAGTTATTGGAGTTGATTGTCTTAACAAAAATAGACTCCGGAAAGTTCGCCTCCGTTCGGCCCTGAGGGAGGTGTGGCGCTTTGCTCACACGAAGGAGGAGAAGCCGGTGAGCGGAGTCCGCGCGCCGGGGCCGGCGGGGGTGTAGACGCCACCCGCGCTCTGCGTGGTGATGACCGGGTGCAGCTGCGCGCCCGCCTCGGCGCCCGCCACCGCCTCGTACCTGTGCGGCGCAGGTGCACGGCCCTGGGCCCGGCGCTTCCACGAGTTGTAGTAGGTGGGGTCGCTCATGTAGTGGTTCACGAACGAGTGCTTGGGCAGCGCGTCCTCATAGTCGGAGTCGGTGGCCTGCGGGGCAGGGGAGAGGCAGTGTGAGTGCAGGGCAGGGCACAGGGCCCGGAGCGTGCTGTGCAGGAGGCCTGGCGTGAGGGCAACTCCCTGGGGGGCCGTGTCGTGGTCTCCAGCCCGCTCCCCACCCCCGCCCAATGCCAGGCCCTCCCACCCTCCACACAGGAGAGCAGGCAGCCCCCCAGGTCCGCCTCTCTGATCCAGGTGTGACCATCTCAGCTGCATCCAGCCCCTCACTCTGCACCAGGTCTCCGAGAAGAGCTGGACCTCCACCCAGGAGAGGTCTACACAGCCTCCCTCACTCAGGAGAGGTCTACACGGCCTCCCTCACTCAGGAGAGGTCTACACAGCCTCCCTCACTCAGGAGAGGTCTACACAGCCTCCCTCACTCAGGAGAGGTCTACGCGGCCTCCCTCGCCCCAGGAGAGATCTACACAGCCTCCCTCACTCAGGAGAGGTCTACGCGGCCTCCCTCGCCCCAGGAGAGATCTACACGGCCTCCCTCACTCAGGAGAGGTCTACGCGGCCTCCCTCACTCAGGAGAGGTCTACGTGGCCTCCCTCGCCCCAGGAGAGATCTACACGGCCTCCATCACTCAGGAGAGATCTACATGGCCTCCATCACTCAGGAGAGGTCTACATGGGCTTCCCACCCCAGCAAAGGTCTGGGTGGCTTCTCTCACTCAGCAGAGGTCTACACAGCCTCCCCACACAGCCCCCAGGGGACTCTGCCTGCCCTTACAAGGCAGAACATAGAAGAGCCCCAGGGGTGGGGGAAGGTCTGGGTCTTTGTCTTGCCTGAGACTAAGACGTGGGCTGCTACAGACCAAAACAAAAGGATTCTGGAGGTGACCAGGTAGAGGGGAGTGGGTGGGAAAGTGAAATGAAGTAGAAGGGAGGGGAGAGGGATGAGGGGGGGGGGTAGGATGAGGTAGAAGGGGAGGGAGGGGAGGCGGTGGGGGTGAGTGAGGTAGAAGGGGGTGGGGAGTTGAATTGAGGTAGAAGGGGGGAGGGGGTGGGGGGGTGATTGGAGGTAAGGGGAGGGGAGGGGAGGAGGGTGTGGGGTGATGAGGTAGAAGGAAGGGGAGGCTAGGGGCTGGAGGGTGATGAGGGAGAAGGTGTGAGGGAAGGGGAGGAGGTGTGGGGGGTGATGAGTAGAAAAGAAAGGGGAGGCTGGTTT